ATATATATATATATATATATATATATATATATATATATATACATATATATATATACCAGTTTTTTGCTTCGGCTTCCTGATTAGAAATACTTTATACTCTTTAACCTAGTAATATCTAATTTTCATTATCACCGTCTTGTTTTCTACTACTGCAACATGAGTAATGGTAAATGATTCTTCTTTTTCTTGATCACATGTATAGGACAAATATGTGGGGTTATTTGTCAGAAATCTAGTGAAAGTTTGCATATGAATCCTCATTTTTCTAGCCTTTGAATATATGATGAAATTGTACCATCCGTAAAAAATCGAGTCTTTCTGTTCTTGTTCTGTGAGCAAACATTCCACTCTTTATATTTATTTCTGCAAAATTTTCTCCATTTTCTCGTTTGGGAGTTGTTTTGGTAAAATGATAAAAAAAATGACTTTTTTGCAACATCGTTACTTTAGATAGTTCATTTTATTACTCTTTTCTTGTCTTCGGGCACCACATATTTGATTTTCTGAATATTTTTGTAACGGTTTTGATGAGATGTGCACATTTTTTTTCTGCTCATATATAATGTGATAGCTTTTTTTTTTATTTTACTTTCACTTCTAATGCTTGATCAGTATTATGCTATAAAATATGTATAATGACTATGGCAACAAATGTTCTGGGATTTTGATTTTTCTATTCTACAACTAATTTTGTTGGACGAGAACTAAGAATTTGTTTTAAGGCATTCTGTAGAGTTACAGTTCAGATTGGATAATTGGCTTATTCTTTCCTATTGTCGCTTGGGTCAGAGAAAGATATCTAGAAATGTCAGTGGTGCAGCAAACAATATGACAAGAGTGTTAAAGACTGAGAAACTGATAAATGGAGTGATGAAACTAAAAGCTGCACCGTATTTTTCGACCGCAGACGTAAGGTGTATGTTTATATTTCTTAGCTACAAGTTTTGCGTGAAATAAGAGAAGTTGAGTTTAAGTTTGAAGGGTAGAACATGCAATGTGGTATTATGTTTGAGGGGGTGTTATGCAACTGACGTAGTTCTGTGGGTCTTAGGCCTACCTATCCATAAGTAAGGAAAGGGATGATGTAACAATGGGCAATCATTGCTCCGAACATGCCCTTGACACCAATTTATATATCTTCTTTAAAGGAGGGGTTCCATATAACTATATCGGAAATGGGTCCTCGTTTTTGGAGTTATTTTTGGGTTACATCTCGTTGAATTTTATAAATGGCTTCGGCAACCACTTTCAACAGTGAGGAAAAAAAATCTAATGGTGCATGGAACATTGACATGGAATGCAAAATTCAGTCTATGGCTTCATCGGTGCATTGTGTTTGATATGAGTTTTTTTGATAATTCAATTTTTCCTAAAATTCATCCGATGGAAAAATTTATCCTATTCATCCAAGGAAAAATACAATTGTTTTTGGAGTCCTTTGATTTGATTACTTACTTAATTACTTGGTTTATTTGACTTGACTAAAGTTACTTAATTGTCCGTAGATTCACTTTTTGAGTAGTCTGATGTAAATTTTTCGATCACAGATTCTCATGTTAGTAGCTTTAATAACTTTTATTGATAATAGTATCATTGTATGCACAGCTAAGGATCTAATCTTAGATCACTTTATTTCCAGCGGTTTCTTGTCAACTGAAAGGACAAGTATAAGAAGCATTAAAATGTTATTTATTACTATTTCCAACTTTTTTTCTTCTATCCTGAATAAGTCAAATCTCACACTTGATGCTTCGTAAAAAAAATTGAAGTTGTGGTGGTTTTTCAAAATCCACAAAAAAAGGAAAAAAACAAAGAAACAAAAATTATTTATTTAGCAAACAAAAATCACGATCTATGTGCATATAAAAATATTTCGCTTTGAATAATTTTGAATTCTAATTTCATTTTTTGTCAAATAATTATCCTGAATATATGGGAGCAGTAGGTGATCAAGAGTATTTAACACGAGCAATGAGACATCCAAATAATGGAAATCCAGAGAGAGGAAAAAACGAAACGTAATACGGGCCATGACCTAATTGTATCGCGGAAACTGAGTGACCGACTCGACAACTGACTGAGGGATTGAAATATATGATGGATGAATCAAATCATCTCTTCAACGCTCTTTCCTCGATTTTCCAATTTCTGCTCGATTATAGGAAACATGCGCACATCTGCATGCTATTTCCTCCTATCTTATTCCATTTCATTTAAAATTTGCATTTGTCCTGTTAGCTTGTGGTATTTAATTTTATTGAATTAAGTTATTCGTACATAATTTTACAGCAATCTATAATTCATTGGAAGCATTTATCAGTTTTTGGTATTTTTTTGATTTTATAGATTGAAAAATTTATCCAATCTTCTGTTATCACTTTTATCTCCTATTCGATATCGCATTTTGATTATCAAATGGATTCAAACAAATAATTGGACTGCAAGAATGATTGACGAAGAACTTGGAAGTCTAATGAGATCTAGTATGGGACAAATTTGTGCACTTATATTAAAAATGCATAATTGTCACTTTTCATTGGCTGTTCATTCATACTGTGATGTTTAAAAATATTATTAAAAAAATGTGCCAATCTCAAATTATTCTACCGTATTTCAATTTACTGCAGAAGATTGGTAGTAATGTTTGTTAAGTAAATGCATAGTTTCGTTAAATTTGATCAAATAGCGGGATGAGATAGAAGTGAACTTACTAGTAAAATAAACCGTGCACTTTTTCATAGGGTTAAATTTTAAAATGCTTATTAACAATTTGCTAAAAATAGTAAATTAGTAAAAAGTTTGTTCATCCGTGATTTACTTTAAGATCACTGATTAATTTACTTAGAATGTATATGGTTACTAAAAAAGAAGTAATTGTGAAAAAGTTTTCATCATTTACTGCGTTAAACAATTACAATGCAGAAAGAAAAATATCAAAAATGAACAAATATAATTTAAAATTTTAGTTCACTTTCTACACTCAGTGTATGCATCACTTTAGCGATTAATTGATCCCATTAATTAAAATATTCGACCACAAATATGTCATTACAATTCAAGGATTTCGTCAAATTTTTAATTGATTGAAATGATTTTGCAGTGAGCTAATTGAATGGATCGATTATTATTCCTTGCATCTTCATTTATTTGCACCAAGCAAGCAATGACACTATTCGATTCTGCTGACGGTACGCTTCTTTTTTTTTTTTTTTAAATTATCTTAAAAGTAGTACATATAGATGTACACATAACTTTTAGACAATCCTGATTATAGTAACAGTTGAAACGTATGCATAAATTAGAGCATCATTGAATTGATTTGTTTAAATTTTTATTGTGCATAGACATTGTAGAGGAAAAACAGGTCAACAAGACTTGTGCTTTTTCATTTATTACATATTTAATAAAGAATGAGGAATTTGATGATTGCATGCAAAATGCATTTCGAAATAAGCAAATTAGATATAATGTGTTGTAGGGAAATGGTTTATAATGAAAGTTGTATTGTTTTAATGAAACTAAAAGTTTGAAGATGATTGACATAAAAGAAACACCATTGGATGTGGAAATTTACAAAAAAGAGAAAAGTGTTTGTTATTCAAAAATTTGTGATGTTAAGTGAGATAAATTGTGAAGCTAGCTTCCATTAGATCAGAAATAAGCATTTGGCATTTGACTTCAATCATTGTTTGATTCAAATTATCACTCGAATTGAATGTATGAAAAAAAAAGTGGCATTGATGAAGAGTCATTTCATATTGTGCATTCATTACATACATTATCGAACGAGGTCACCTAATGGAAGGTGAAATAATCGGGAAACTGCAAACGAGCGCTTTTCAGGATTGTCTACAACATTGCTCTAAAGTATATTCTTTGATCTACTTTTTTTTTGTTCTGTAAATAATTGAGAGTTCTTTCAGTTACTTTAAAATAAAAGTCTTCCATTACCCAAAGATTATGGCATTGTATTTTATGACTTTAACATTTTGTATAAAATTTCAGCAGATAAAATGTACAGCAGTGAATTTCCTGATAAATGTCCAAGAGAATCCGATATGCTTGCTTATTGATCGAACAAAAAATGGGAATGAATTGGAAATGCCCATTCCGGAAAGTGTAATTTACAGTGCAACATCTTTCTGTCTTAATCAAAGTAAATTGTTCCATTTCACATTTTAAACTGATGATGAAAATTCTTTAGTGATAAAAAATGAAATGACTAGTTTGGTTACAACAACTCGATCTAATCTTTATTTAAAGGGTTATCATCACGGTGTACTGACAGTACTATATGGTCATTTGAAAGGTTTCCAAACAAGGATCTTATTGACGATAAGTTTGCAGACGTAGCTGAAGGAACAATTTCGCTTGAGAAATGTTTGACCTCTTGTTTAAAAGGGTTCATTTTTTTTAAATCATAAATACTCATTTCGTGTTAATTGATTTATAACTTTTCAGGTGTCCTAAAATGTCTGAAATTTCCTCACTGATAAGAAATAATCTTCCATCGAAGCTATATTTTTTCCGATAAACATGAAGTGAATAGTTCATTATGATAAAGTTTTGAAGTATGACGGACATATATCTCAAAAGATTCCGATAAGCTGTGAATATTCTGCTACATTGACAAACTAGAATGAAGGATCCCAAAACAATGACAACTTCACTGCTGGGTTGATTGATTGTAATATCCTTATCATCATTATCATTTGGGGTTGAAATGCAGAGTGCTATCAAATATGGCATGCAACTCTGAACAATGAGATAGTTATCCAAATGTTTTTTTTTCTGTCACCAAAAAGCACTTCTTACAAAATGAAAGAGAAGGGAGAAAGCCAAACTGACTATTTTAATCATTTCAACTTGCATCAAATTTCAGGAGCCAGTGCAGGGCGGTCTTGTATAATAAAAAAGCGACGCAATGCCGTTATTTGAATGTTTCAATTCAAAACGTTCACAATGTAAAAAAATTCTTTAAATATAGTGAAGACGTAGAATTATATGAAAACAACTGTTTTCCGGAAAGTTAGTTCGAATTTAATGTTTTAATATAAGCATATTATATAATAGTGCATTTATATCATTGGATCGATGACACAAATTTAATTGTTTGTACCAATTCTATTGTAAACTTATGTCTTCATTATCTTTGCTTTGTGCTTTCTATCCACAACTTCAGATTTTATTATGAATGTTGCACAGTGTCAATTCATCCGAATGCAATCATCCGGTTTCACGGATTTTTTCGACGAACGTATTACGGATGTAAGTGACACCAGTGAATGCGAGCAATTATGTCACACATGGAACAGTGGTAATTGCCGCTATTTTACATATCATCGTGGAACACATATGTGTTATCTGAGTCATACATCACCTCGAACGTTGAATAAGAATCCTTTGCAGAATTATGATTTAAATTTATCATCTGGTGAACTTGAAGATTGTGTACAATGTGAGTTTTACAATTTAAGGTTTTAATTTTTATTGTGTAAAAGAAAATTTTGAATAAATGGTGATGTATTAAAAAGAAAACTTAAACAGGGAACAATTTTAAAAATTTTCATTACAGTTAAATTAAAATGCAAACGGGATCGAATGCAAATACATGGTGCATCGTTGAAAATGTTTTCTGGAACACTTACGACGAAAAACGATAAAATATTTTCTTGCAAAAGAAAATTCTTTCATGTATACGAATTTGATGCTGAGATGTTGTACAATGAATGTGGGATGCAAAAAACTGTTGGTTTTCTTCGTTCGTGAAGAAAAAGGATTTAGAAATAGAAAAAAAATAAATAAATTTTTTATTGCTTTTCAGAGTTCCTCTTTTTTTTCTTTTCAAATTACTGTATTTTAATTTTAAAATGCTTTTTTTCCATTTCCTATCCTTTTTTTATTCGTCTTTCGATAATTTTTTTGTTCAAAAAAAAAAGAGAAAGAAAGAACAAGTGAAGAAAAAGAATTTAGAAATAGAAAAAAAATAAATAAAATGAATGATGGAATAAACAGTATTACAATAATTCCTTTTAGCTTTCCCCTTATTTAACTTTTTCAAACCTGGTGATGTTAAAGGAAGGTAGCACTGAGCTTATTACTGTCAAGGACAAATTGTTAAAGGTCAGCTAAGCATTATTTATTTTGCAATAATAAAATTAAAATTATGTAATTATCAGCACCTATCCATCTTTCTTCAATCAGCTTATGTAAAAATTTTTCTTGCAATTATTAATTTTTATCAGTGTTGGATACAGATCTTTATAATGTCAGTAATTTCATCTTCAATTTTAGAAGCATATAAAAGCGTTTTGGTGATTTTTTTTTTGGTAATATATTTTGATAATATGCTCTTATTTCCGAATTTCAGGTCATTTGCCACATACATAATGATTTGGAAATTTTACCGGTCGATCAACACCTATCATTTCATCTTCAAGTTGAAGATGAGAATGTTACAAAACAGATGCTGTAAATTTATTTCCTTATTTGTTACTTACTAAGTGACTTTTAAATTTAACTTTCATCAAAGTGTAATTTTTATTTGGTTCAAATATTGCTTAAGTTTGCTTGATAATTTTAAAAAAGAATTATGTGTAATTTTACAGAACTAAGGACATACAAATAGCATCGCAGTTACGAAATTATGTGACCCAACCGCGGTACACAATGGAAGTGATGGATGTGAACAAAAATCCTGCAGAAGTGGTAGAAATCGGTGATGAAGGCTATCTTTTGCTAACACTACATGAAGTATTCATTTACTCTTAACTGAACTACTATCATAAAATTACGTCTTAAATGTTTTATACGATTATTTTATATGGATACGTTTACATTTCATACCTTTACGATACCTGAAGACTTACTCAATTTCATTATCGATTATTTAAGAAACCAATCAAATTTACGTTTCATACCTTTACAATACCTGAAGACTTACTCAATTTCATTATCGATTATTTCAGAAACCAATCAAATTTTCGATAATTGATTTATTTGCACGCGACATACAAAGTGGCAGAACTTTTGCAATTATCGATTCTGATGGGTATGGAAATTTCTGAAACTTACTAAAATCATTATTTTTTTCAATCCAAGATGCTTAGCTAAAATTATGTTTGCATTATTTACTTTATTTTTCCTTGCAGTTGTGCTGTTCCAAATGGAATGCTTAAAGATATTTATAGAATTGACAAAAATCACTTGCAATTAACTGTCGTCTTTAATGGCTTCTCAGATGAGGTGATATTACTTATTTGATAATTTACTGTATTTGAATGTTTTATAGGGTTGTGTTGAATTCCTGAATTTTTGGCGGTTTTAAGATTGTCGTACTTTAACATAGACCGAATATCCCGAAATAGAAGACGGAATGTATTCAGTTTTATTCAGTTAATCCAGCACATTTTCAGG